TTCAACAGTGAAATATGAAAGACGACTTAATGTCTCAGTCGGGCAATGGTGGCATCCAGGGCTTCCATGCTGAAGTCCTTCTGGTCCTTTGGTGGGTTGGCACGGATCTCCTCCAGGGACTTCAGCACATGTTCTGGGGTTGGTGGTGGAGTTGGCAGATGAGCTCCCTCAGGGCGGAATCCATTCTCATCGGCGACGTACACTACACGGTATTGGACTCCATCGGGACCGGTGTAGGAGTATCCACCGTTAGCTTGATGAGCACCGAGCCCTTCTTCATGGAACGCGATTCCGTTGCTGGTTTCGTATGCCCAGTTGTAGTGACCATCGTCCTGGAGAACGTTGTTGTAGGACAGAATGCTGGCAGTGGCTTCAGATTCCGAGAGGCTGCGAGCGATGCTCGTGGCGATCAAGGCGGAGACGATCAACTGAAAGTAGATTAGAACACATTTTAGATGAGTTATATTGACGATAACGTCTAAAGAATCAACGTACAAGTCGGAACATTGCGCTGGTTTTGGTTGAGGCTTGAAGTGAACTATTCAAATGCTTTGCTTGAATTGATGACCTACTGCCCCATTTCACTAGTTTATATAATCGAAACGGATATATCCTTTCAATCCAGCTAATGACTCTATTAGTCAAGGTGGTTCGACACCCTGCTCAAAAATATTTCACATTCTCTCGCTTGGAGACACGCATGCATACCTGTTGCGATATGGAGTGGGAAGGAGAAAAGCTTCGGCAGTATTTTTTTTTTTTTTTTGACAAATCGATTCGTTACCACGCGGAAAGGATTGAAGGTTTTTTTGAAATTGCCTTTACTCTGTTAAATATTAATCGCTATTGCGCGTTCTGAAAGTTATTCAATTGGATTATATAAACATGCAAAATGGGACTGTAGGATATCATTTGAAACACAACATTTGTGTAGTTCACTTCAAGCACCAAACAAATCTAGAAGGATGTTCCGACTTGTATGTCAATTCTCGAAACATTATCAAAAATAGATCTCTTCTATAATTAGTTCTAATTTGATTTCAGTTGATCATCACCGCCTTGATCGCCACGAGCTTCGCTCGCAGCCTCTCGGAATCGGAAGCCACTGTCAGCATTCTGTCCTACAACAACGTTCTCCAGGACGATGGTCACTACAACTGGGCATACGAAACAAGCAATGGGATCGCGTTCCATGAAGAAGGACTCGGTGCTCATCAAGCGAACGGTGGATACTCCTACACCGGTCCCGATGGCGTCCAGTACCGTGTGGTGTACGTCGCCGATGAGAATGGATTCCGCCCTGAGGGAGCTCATCTGCCAACTCCACCACCAACCCCAGAACATGTGCTGAAGTCCCTGGAGGAGATCCGTGCCAACCCACCAAAGGACCAGAAGGACTTCAGCATGGAAGCCCTGGATGCCACCATTGCCCGACTGAGACATTAAGTCGTCTTTCATATTTCACCGTTGAATTATATGTAACTAGTGCAATTGTTATTTACTGTTAGTTGTTGAAATGATCGTTTGGAAATGATTAATAAAAAAAAATAAACTTGAAAGCCTTCAAATTTAAGAGTGAACTATTCCTTCAATTTCTCTATCTTGAATCCGTTACTTTCCATACAGAGAAAAAATCATCCCGTTACATTTTTATAACCATAATTTCCTTGATAACCTAGTTATCGATATTCATAGCCCAGTTTGATGCAACGCTTGTTTTGGTGTCATTTTGGTTTTTTTTCGTCGTTCTTACTTGGCATTTCAAGCTTATTGCTTATCGCATATTAGCACAGTTGTAAAATTGAGAGCATTTAATGCCTGTACCATTTTTGCATTAGTATAATTGTGTGGTAAGTACAATCATACTCTAAAATCCCAGGGAAGTCGAGAAATATTCCAACCCGAAAACTTCCTCGACTGAACCGGGAATCGAACCCAGCCATCTCCAGCATCGATCGAAAACAGTGAAATAAATAGTTGGAAATGCTTAACATCAATAACATTTTACACAACAGCTAAGGATGTGAAAGTAGAGTATATAATAGATCCGGTACGAATTTATAGTACGGCTGTGGGAAAATTGCATATACAAAGTAAAAAACGAGAATGGGACAATTTTGAGGAAGGTACGAATCGGATCGAGCTTTCCCATTTGCTAATCTCATTCGTTGATGATAGGCTGTGAGGAGTGTTTCCCCTCGCCACGATTTTCAAAAGGAATGATTGCAGTTCCGCTCATGTTGGTCTGCTAATATAGCTGAGCTTGTTCGTCACCAATTGTTGAGTAGAGGTAAAGTTTCTCTCAGCAAATTAGTGTGTATTTATTTATATATTTATGCTATGGTGTACAGGTAAAATATTCACCCCAATGACAGTATACTTATTCTAAACAAATTAACATAAAATACTATTGAAATTGCACTTATTTTCAAAACGGGAAACATTGAAGTCAAATAAATTATAGCATCTGTTAAAGAGGCGACACATCCTCCGCATGGGCTCATTCCATCCGTAGTTGGTTTGTGGGAGGCGGTTGTTCAGAAAAGCATGCGATCTTAGATTACGGCGGCGGGTATTGATGACTACTCAGCAGTGTATAACAGTCAATGTTTCCCTGAAGAAGATCACCGACGAAGCTCGCCATTGTTACCTTACGACTCGCATCCATAAGCTTGTTGATAAGCATACAGCGGCTTTCGTAGCTAGGCAGAATTGTAGGGTCATTCCAGCGAAAATGCCTTAAAGCATATCGGATGAACTTCCGTTGAATAGCTTCAATACGATTACGAATACGATTTTTGGTAGTATGGAGACCACACGACCGTCGAATATCCAAGTTGTGAGGAAGCTTTGGATACTACATATGCAACATGATCCTTGAATCTGAGCTTGGAGTCGATCAGTATTCCCAGATCCTTGATAGTCGGTTCACGTTTCAAAGTTATGCCCGTCAGGGTGTAGTCATGGTGAAGAAGCGAGCGCTTGCGGCCAAAGGAAATTACAGAACATTTAGAGACATTCAGTTACATGCGATTAATACGACACCACTCAGTGAAGACTTCCAATTGATGCTGCTAGAAAATTGCATCACTAGGTTCTTTAATCACGAAGTAGAGTTTCAGGTCGTCCGCATACGATAGGACAAAGAAATTTCTCCAATCTTGACAGACATATTTCGACCAGTCAGGTAAGAGTAGAGCCAAGTAAGCAGGCCATCGTGAAGACCTATTCTGTTGTATTTAGCCAACGCAATGTCATGGTTTATTTTGTCAAATGCTGCTGAGAGGTCTGTGTAGATGACATCTACTTGATGGCCACGTTCTACTTCACGAATGATGAACGAAGTGAACGTAACTAAATTGCTCACCGTGGAACGCTTAGGCATGAAGCCATGCTGATCCGTCGAGATACAGTGTGCGAAACTTTGAACCAATTTTTCGAGTATAATCAACTCAAAAAGTTTGGAGGTTGCACTTAACAAAGCTATTTCACGGTAGTTTCAAACAGTCCTTTTGCAGCCTTTCTTGTGGATTGGGAACACGAAAGACTCTTTCCAGCAAGCTATGAAAACCCCAGACATCAAGGAGAGATTGAAAACGTTGGCTAGAGGTGTCGCGAGAGCAGTCAGCCAGCGTTTGAGGACTAACGCCATCTGGACCGGAACCCGTTGAGGTTTTTAGCTGCCTCCCAACTGAAATATCAATTTTGCTGGTGATAGAAATGGATGGCTGGAGAAGGTTGAGGGAGCAATAACATCCTAAATGCTGAGCCATTCGATGTTGACAACACTGCTGAATTGTGTGCGAAACAGGTCGGCAATACCAACGATAGAGTCCACTTCCACTACGCCGTTCATCATACTTGAGGGTAGTCCGCTTTCGTTTCTTTGGGCATTCACATGGCGCCAAAAGCTCTTTGGATTTGATTTCAGACGACGCTGAAGCTGGTCTTGGTGTTCAGTACTGCATCAATAAAGTCTAGTTTAGTCTCAACCCAACCGGTTGTATTAACTCCCTCCTCTAAGAGGTTATGGGCCCAGCACGCTTCCACTGCGCTGACGTCGTCGGCGAAGTTGATGTACCAGTAGTCCGACGATCGGAGCGTACCACAAAGGGCATCCCGCCAGAACGGTACCAAGACACCGTGCGCATAGCAGCGCAATATGTCGACGAGCCACGCACATTCGAAGAAGCAATGGCTAGCCCCGAGCGCATCATGTGGGAGGCAGCCATGGAGGAAGAGATGAAGGCGCATGAACAGAATTCCACATGGGATGTCGTCCGTTTGCCGCCAAACAAGAAGGCTATTGGCAGAAAATGAGTATTCACGAAGAAGATGGACGAGGGCGGAAACTTGATCCGCTATAAGGCCAGGTAGCGCAAGGATTCAATCAAAAATACGGAACCGACTACCTTGAGGTCTTTGAGCCAGTCGCCAAGCAAACCACTTTTCGGACCCTGCTGAGTGTCGTCGCCAGACGAGGAATGCTGGTGAAGCACGTCGACGTGAAGACGGCGTACCTACACGGAGAGCTGGAGGAGACCATTTTCATGAAGCAGCCGTTAGGATTTCATAACGGGGTCAAGAACAACGTACTGCATCTACGAAAAAGTCTCTACGGTCTGAAGCAGGCTGGAAGGGTGTGGAATGAAAAAAATCACCGAAGTCTTGAAGCAGCTGGGCTACGAGCCATCTGAAGCAGACCCATGCCTGTTCGTAAAAACCTGGAAGAAGAAGAAGAAGTTCATATTACTATATGTGGACGACATGCTGATTGTCACTAACACAGAAGCGGAATACAAAGCCGTCCAGAAGCATTTAGCGGACCACTTTACCATTACGTGCCTTGGGCACGTGCGACACTATTTGGGAATCCGGAGTGACAAGATCCGGCGGACAGTTTTTCCTGAACCAACAAACCTACATCCAGAAGGTAGCCGAACGCTTCGGACAATCAAAAGCGAAGCGCTCGCCGATACCGATGGATCCCGGGTACCCGAATGTACAGCAGAAACGACGAGTTCCAGAGCCTGGTGGGTGCTCTTCTATACATCGCGGTCAACACGAGACCGGACATCGCCATAAGCGCCTCAATTCTGGGCCGCAAGGTGAGTCGACCAACGGAAGCAGACTGGACCGAAGCAAAACGGACGCTCCGGTATCTCCAGTCAACAGTGGATCGGAGCCTACGTCTAGGTTCATCCGGACCGCTGGAAGCATACGTCGATACAGACTGGGCTGGTGACAAGACAGACCGGAAATCAAACACCGGTTTCGTCTTCTGTCTTGGAGGACCAATCAGTTGGGCAGCCCGAAAACAACCATGCGTAACTCTTTCGTCTACCGAAGCGAAGTACGTGGCGCTTTCCGAACCCAGCCGCGAGCTGTTGTGGCTGATGAAGCTACTGAAGGACGTCGGAGAACCAATTCTGGCTCCTGTAGTTGTACACGAAGACAACCAAAGCTGTATTGCGATGCTGAAATCTGCCGACGGTAGCAACTGAACAAAGCACATCAACACTCGCTATAATTTTGTGAAAGAGTTGGTCAACAATACTGTGATGGACGTTCGCTATTGCCCCAGTGAACAAATGGTTGCCGATGGTCTAACAAATCCATTGGCTCGCGTCAAGATGGAGAAGATGCGCCTGAAAATTTGTCTACAGCCCGGATCTTCACGTTCATCTTGAAGCAACTCACCGAGCTTGAGGAGAAGTGAAGGAGATCGAAGCAACTCGGTGAAATTATAATAATCCTAGTATGCTATAAATGTCAGTACTGCATCAATAGAGTCTAGTTTAGTCTCATGTTTCAACCCAACCGGTCGTATTAACTCCCTCCTCTAAGAAGTTGGATGTTGATTAATTGCAAATTAAGGTCATTGAGGACATCAATAACTAATGAATGACTGAGTTCTCTTTGTTTGCTGAACATCGAAGACAAAGAGAATAGATGCAGCTCTAAATTGAATGCCGTAATTCGGGGGTTAATTGATAACATAAATCGTAATTATGGAAGTTAATTCTGACATTGAAGAAAACTGACAAACTTATAGGCCCTTATTACGGTTCGCACATTCACGTTCACTTTCACCTCACTTACACATCACTTCACTTTTTTTTACCTATTACCGGTGTCACGTACAGTGAAGTGATCAAAATGAACTCGGTTAAGTGACAGTGACAGTGAAGTTATGTTCAGTATAGACCTTTTTAACGTTTAATCATCTGTCTCTATCTAGCACACATGGGTGAATTGACGGTTTGTTTTCCCACTAATCTGTTTCCCTCTTGCTCACACTCGTTCGTTTTAAATGGTACAGTAGTGTGCGCCGATTAAACGTCAAAAAGCTCTATAGTCCTGTTCATTTTGCGTGACGAGAACTGTCACTCTCATCTTTGCTGTTTTGTTTTTGTTTTTGTTTTGAAAATGGCGAGGAAAATCGACGGAGTTGAAAGATTTTTTTTTTCCAAAATGAGTGTGGAATTGTGGTTTGATACCGACAGCGAAGACGAGGAGGAATATGCAAATCTTGCTGTAGAACGTAGGCGGATAAGGGACACCTCTAATCCACTGGATCAAACAGAAAAATCGTAAGTATTTGGCGATAAATTCCTTGCTAAAATTTGTAAATGCTAAGATCAAATCAAATATCCTTCATACACAATTTTCAGCTTCATTCGATTCTTCCAGGTATCCAAGGAGATCTTCAAGTACCTGCTGGATATAATAAATGCGAAAATCAACCCAGTGCAGCTCTCCACATCGGTTCCTCCCATGATCATGCTAGCAGCATCCTTAAGATTTTTTGCGGAAGGTAACTACCAGAAGGGCGTAGGAAACGACCGTTTTATCGGATTGGCTCAACCAACGATGTCAAAAGTGCTGCAAATAGTTTTGGACATAATCGAAACTGAAGTCTATCTAGCCGTAATCCAGTTTCCAACCGAGGAAGGAGAAAATAACGCGATCAAACTGGGTTTCTACGCAAAAACGGGATTTCCGGGAGTAATCGGATGCGTAGATGGAACCCACATAAGCATCATCCCTCCGGCACACGCTAAGCACTTGTACTACAACCGTAAAGGCTTTTACAGCCTAAATGTTATGTTGGTAAAGTTGATAAGGTAAGAGGTCTTCTCTTTTATTTTACTCAAGCAAATTTATTACAATTATAGGTTTGTGATCATGATTTAATGATTCGATATCTTGATGCCAATCACCCGGGCGCCTCCCACGACTCTTTTGTGTGGAACGGCAGTTCGCTGAATCAATTATTAACACAAAGATACGACAACGGGGAGAGGAACTCCTGGTTACTCGGTAAGAATAAAGTTATTGGACGTATTGAAATGCAGTCAATATTCCTTCTTAAAGCATTACCAGTATAACAGTGATACTCTATGGCGTGTCGAGCAAACTTCCAACTCGAAAATAGCCTGAATCTGACAATCTGAACTTCCACTTCCAACATGGTATGGATTCGTCGCTTCCTATTTCCTGACTGAGTTATTGGGGGACCAATGTCAAGAATTCAGTACGGTTATTAACCTTTACGTTTCCGACCCTCGACTCCCCAAATTCAAATTTCTACCATTTCATCACCTTACATTAATTTTTTTTCGAAATAACTTCCAAAATATCACAATTTGGTGCAAGTTTCATATCAGATTCGTGCCGAGTCCGGGTAGTGCTGGTTATTTCGGAACACCCGGAACAGGTTCCGGCAGGGCCTCTTGCAAGACAATTCATTTTTATCACCAAAATACAGGCCAAAATATGCCGTGCGATATATCAAACTACATGATATTCAAAGAGCAAGCCAGCAGACATAGACTGAACACCGTACAAACTTATGTGGCCACTCCGGAACATCTAGAACAGATTCCGTCAGGGCCTCTTTGGGGCAATTTTTTATCATCAAAATATACCATGCGACATATCAAACTTCATGATTTTGAAAGATCAAGCCATTACACATAAACTGATTACCGTACAAACTGATACGGTCTCTCCGAAACATCTGGAACAGGTTTCAGATCCTGTTCCGTAATCACCAGATAGCCCATTCTGAAAATTCTTATAACTTATTGGATTTTGAAATGCATCAAAGTTCACAGTTCACCGGAATTACCCGACGGAGAAGGATATGCAGAGTTGCGTGGTGTTGAGGACAATCAAGCTGATAAAATTAAAATCAGGGAAGAAATCATGCGCATATTTTTTGAAAAGCGAAGTTCTTTTATGTATCGTTGCAATAAAAATATAAAACTTCAACTTTAATTAATTTATTCAGAACAATGGAAATTGTTTCCCAACTTACATGAAAAGCTAACCTTTTCATTCTAGTCTTCTGTCTCTTCAAAACAATGACGTTATTTAAATTATTGATGAGGAATGAAAAAGAATAGTGATGAATTACTCGTCACTTTCGTCCAGGTCCGTCTCTCCGTGATCATCTTGCGCATCAGTACTACCAGCTGTTGTCCGTCTCATCTCAAAATCTAGCTTCTGCTTCTTGTATTGAAGCAGCTGCAATTGAAATTCCAATTGCTGACTTTGTTGTTTCTGCTTTTCCAGCAGCATTTCCTCTTTGAAGCGGAATTTCTCCTCTTCCAGATGGAAAAGCTTGGTTTCAATCGCCAGCCGCTTTTCGTGAAGCGCGTATGATTTACGCGAATATCGGGCACAATCCGATTCATGTTGGTTCATCTTACTGAGATCATCAGTCTGCTTCTCGAGGAGGACTTTACGGTAATTTCGCTTGGTCGCTCGTCCACGGAGACGCACTGCTGGTTGACCTCCTTCAGTTTCATCCGCACGAGCTGCATCATCATGCATAGGTTCGTTTTCCGTGACTCTCGGTTCCTCGACGCAGGGGACTGTTGCTTGGTGTTCTTCAGTTGCGGCTGCACTAGACGAGGATGGCGTTCCAAAAACAGAACCTGAATTCACGAAAGGAGGATGTTGATAATGCTAGCAAATTTTCCAGTAGATTACCATTTTACCATTGTGATTGACCGCTGTTTCCAATGAAAAAAGGCGAATGATGGTTCCTTCCAGATCGTTGAACGACTTCAGAGTATTTGGCCCACCTCCTGTGGCCCTCAACTTTTTCTTATTATGCTGCAGCTTGTGCTTTATCTGCAGCTTTTTGTCGGTCCAAAAATGAAGCAGAAAGCAGAGAGGTTTTGCATAGAAAATATTTCTTGTCGTTTAAAACACACGATTCAACTTACCTTTTGCCAGGCTGCAACAGAACCCAAACTGTTCAGTGAATACGTAAGCGTCCACCATAAGGAAGTAACCGATTCCCGTGAACTTGTCACCTTATTTCCTTTCGCAATGTCGGGATTTTCCTCCATAAAGGCCACAATGCAAGCGAATTGTCACGTGTTTGTCTTTTTCTTCCTAAAATGTATAGAAAGATTCAAAACATTAATAAAATAAGTAAACATATTCAAAACTTGAACTTACTCCATCTTGCGTGACTGCTCTTCACCTTTGAAAACTATGGTGAAAAAAATCCACGGGAAGCGTCACTTTTTTCACCGAAATCTCGGTGACGTGGCAACCATAATAACACCGAGTTCATCCAAGTTGTCACTTCGGATGAACTCTTTCACATTCTGTCACTAGGGTGACTCCCGTAATAGGGTTGTGTTCACTTCACTTTGTTTTCACCGTGAAGTGACACCCATAATAAGGGCCATAGTATTCAAATCTATAGACTATGATGATGCTATGGTGTCGCATGATTATTTATTAAAGGGGAACACGAAAATGTCCGGACACGAAAATCTTGTTGGGGTTTAAAAATGCGTTTTATGTTTCATAGTTAAATTAAACAGCTAGTAGGTATTATGCATATTTTAAGACCATTGCTTCAGTCTTTCTTATTTGCATACGCCATTGCTCGAACTTTTCTTCGTAAACGACCCATCAAGAACAACATGTGAAAAGGGCATACAAGCTTTTTGTAAACAAACCATCTTATGCCATTTTCTCGCCACCCATATGACACCAACGCAAACCATCATCATCATCGGGTAGGAGAAACTTTACCCTTCCCGATGATGTTGTTGGTTTGCGTGGGCGACAATCGGTTGGCGAGAAACGGGCCTACAAAGGTTTGTTTACAAAAAGCTTGTATGCTCTTTTCACATGTGGCTCTTGCTATCATCTTTTACACGATCCCTGTTCCCACTGGGTCGGCTGCCAAAATCCAGTTCCGCTTGAAGTCCTTCAGGTAAAATGCAGTACCAACCTTTTTCTTCAGTATGTGCTTCACAATTGACCAGTATTCCTCAATTGGCCTGTTTCAGTAGTATTGGACGGATTCATCTCTTTGGGAACCGCTTTGACGCTATTTTTTGTTGTACCACTGTTTGGGGGAATTTGAGTAGTGGCAGTAGCTAAGTCCGGCCAGACTAGACAATCCACCTCATGCTGCTCTTGGTAATTTTGCTGGTTCATGGTCCCAGAAGAGACGGAAGTTTCGCTTTACAGCCCACAACTGCTGATTGCTTGCCAAAAAGAACTTTTTGGGGGATTTCAACTTCTTTTTGATTTTACATTCTTGCGGTCAACCGAGATATAAAATTCCTGCCCAGGAATTTGATCGAAAACTGCCAGGAGCAGACCGACCAGGATTTTCGTTCCAAGCGTGCAGGATCGAATCGCGACGAGCTTGTTCCGGTGAAGCTATGATGTAAACAAATGAACTTATCCTGACAACCAATGCCTACTGTGATTTTTTTTCCTTGATTAATTATACGTCGATCTTGTTTTCCGTGCTGAGCACTAATGCTACCGACGCCAGGGAGGCAGCTCCCACACCTGGACCCTACCTATCGACCCATCAACTCTTGAACCGGGGACCAGAGATGTAATGACTCAGAACATCCTGGCAGCGCCGACTGGGATTGAACTCAGGCCTGCTGAAGTGAGAGGTGATCACGCTTACCACAACACCACCGGCACCGCTACTGTGGTTCTATACAGTCTTAGCTTGATTTAGTGAAATTTTGGAAAAAAATATACTCGAAAAATGCTTTAATGGCCAAGGGGGAATCAACTCTGCACACCTCAATCTGTGCCGTTAGTTTTCGCTGTACCGAAGCGTGTCAATCAAGTATCCCATGAGTTTGACAACCCTGAAGATTAGATGGCTTTTGGGATTGTTTATTTGTGATTGTGCAAGAAGACTGATTGTAGCCCTGTAGGTGCATACCGGTTCGTTAGCTATACTCAGTCGCATGGATTCCGGAAAGCTGGATGTTCTTCATCCGTGGCGTTGACTATAGAACAGTACAACAACAACAATAACAACGGCGAGGTGGAGGTGAAACTGTTCAATCAGTTGCAAGCGGAGGACGGCTACATAAAGATTACCGGTGATTTTGAAAAAAAGGAAATCGATTTCCTCGACGTGAACAACTTTGAGCTGTCCAAGTGGTTCCTGCCAAGAAGAAGCTTTTGGGTTAAGGATCGGGTTTAGGTTGTTGAAATGTATTCAGGTATACCTTGACGTAACGTAACTGTCACTTTTGACTTTCATCACTGATTTCTAGCTAACAATTCCAATTTGAATAATTGAACTGTTATTTGTGAGATATCGGCGATGGAAGTCAAAAGTAACAGTTACTTTATGTTGAGGTATACCTGTATTCAGGGATGGGAAATCATTTGCATTCATTTATGTTTAAAGAAAGCCTATCTAATATGTCGAAGACTGCACAATAGGGTTATCATAAACAGGGTGAACTAAAGGTGGCTATGAAGATCGCTCATCCGAGGAAGATGAATTGTATGACGCTATGTAAGGCTTGTACTCGAAAAAATGCACCTTTTTTATCCGAGTGTAACTTTTTAAACCGTGGGTAAAAATTAATGAAAATCTGGGTATAACTAGTTTGGAGTGAATTGTTTACATGTGCAAAATTTCATAACAATCGGTTCAGTGGTAATTGAGATGTCATCGAAACAAGAAGAAAATCGCCGGAGAATTTTGCGCGCCGTCATGGAAAATTCGACTGCGACCATTAGATGGATCGGAAGACAACTGGGAAACACCCATACAACTGTGTCTCGGATGGTAAAATCGTTTAAGGAGTCCCAGACGACCGAGCGGCGGGCTGGAAGTGGAAGAAAATCGAAGACAGCTGACCCTGTGAAGGCCCGGAAGGTGTTGGATTATTTCAAGCGTAATCCGAACCTTTCGATTCGCGACGCGGCTCTGAAGGCAAAGTGTTCCGCCTGGTTCGTTCAGAAAACCATGAAACGAGCTGGGCTTCGTGAAGTCAAGGTCCGGAAGGCACCGAACCGGCGTGATCAACAAAACACGGCGGCCAAATCCCGCGCAAGGAAGCTGTATCGAGAGTGGTTAACGAAGCTGATGTGTGTGGTTATGGATGACGAAACCTACATCAAGGCAGACGCAAAGCAGATACCGGAGCTGGAGTTCTACGTTGCCAAATCATGGTTTGATGTTCCGAAAGACATACGGAAAAAGAAAGTGGACAAATTCGCCAAAAAATAATTGCTCTGGCAGGCCATATGCCAATGCGGTAAACTGAGTAAACCGTACATCACAATGGGTAATATCAACAGCGATATTTACAGTCACCGAGTGCCTCCAGAAGCGTCTGTTGCCCTTCCTGCGGTCCCACGGAGGCGAGACATTATTTTGGCCGGACCTGGCATCATGCCATTACCCGCGATCGACGTTGGATTGGTACAGAGACAATAACGTTGTTTTTGTACCAAAAACCGCCAACCCCCCAAATTCACTAGAGATTTGTCCGGTGGAAAGATTTTGGGCCATAATGAAGGCCAAAGCTCGAAAATCATCCAAGGTGTTTAAGAACGAGCTGGAGTTGAAGAAAGAATGGATGAAAGTGACCAAAAAGGTCGGCTCAACCATTGCACAAAATGTAATGAGGGGTCTTAAGGGAAATGTGCGGGCTTACAGCGATGGAAAGAAAATTGAATAAAGTAATTATGCCGAAACATAATCCATATGCATTAGTTCATTCTCTGAAAGTGTCAAGAAAATCCGACTTAAAATAAATTTTTGGCGAACACTTTTGTCTGGTGCATTTTTTTTTTCGAGTACAGGCCTTATTTGGCCACCGGGCCAGTGGAATGGACCCATGTAAACCGTGATTTCCGATATTGTAGCTACCGGAAATGACAAGCAATTGTTGCAATCAAGTTGATTTCAAAAGTGGATGACCCTGAGGGTGATCTAGTTTTTACTGTCGCTGGTTATGATCTCAGCGCTGCTATTTATCAGCACACTTTAACAACTCTTGCAAGAAATTAGACGAAGTACTGGCTGCAGGAGATATCCGAGAAAAGTCCAGTAGGGTTGACTTCTAATCCGGAATCCTGATGAATGTGGGCGTCTTAGTGGAATACGGGCGTCTTAGTGGAATACCTGTATAATGAGAGAGAGAAGGATTAGTAATCCGGGATAAAATCGTCGAACGGGTGTTCAATAAAAAATAAGATTTTTTTCAGCCATATAGCAAAATTTTTTTTTTCATCGAATTCAGTATTTTTTATAAACAACATAATGTTTATTCTTCAAAAAAAACGTCAATGAATATTGGAGAAAGGGCCCTGGTCAGCCGTACGACGCGATGATTACTTAGTCGCGATGCTCTCACAAGAGTGCTGAACGGCACTGAAATCATTTTCATTTTTTATTGAACACCCGTTTTTTTTCCTTAGTTTGTTTTCCGGCGATCTTGTTTTCCACAAATGTTCACCAATGCTACCGACGCCAGGGAGGCAGTTCCGACACTTGGACCCTACCTATCGACCCATCAAACTCATGAAATTGGGACCAACATCTTTACTTCCCATCCGAAGGAAGGCGTGATCAGAGATGTTATATGCCTCAGAACATCCCGGTGGCACCGACTGGGATTGAACCCAGGCTTGCTGGGGTGAGAGGTAATCACGCTTAACCACTACACCACCGGCATCGCTATTGAATACCCGTTAGTCCGACGGATTAATTAAATTCATGCTAAAGCGAAGATCAGCGACTATCAACAAAGTGCGAAACCTTAACAACTATTGGAAAATCGTTAGCAAAGAACAGTGATGCCGCTTTATAACATATTCTGTGTCATTCTTGTCATTCTTTGTGCGTGCCGAGCAGTGTGCCGTGATGTGTTTCGGCACAGTGTGTAGAGTTCATTACCCCTTGTTAATGGCAGCGTTTCTAGTGTGTCCATATTGCAAGTCAACCTTTATTACAAGTCAAAGTAATGATTTTACCGTATGCGTGATAATGTTTGCACCATCGTACAAATAAGGTTCCCGTTTCACCTGTGCATATAATGCCTTGATTTTCTTTGCATGCACGTAGCCTATAGCTCATACCGTAGTAGGCTGTGTATAAATGAAAATGATTTACTTAGTTTGACAGTTGCACCATGACGAAGTGGCAGCGTATTCGTGATTTGTCCCACGCGCAAATGTCGGAAAAAGACATTTCAATCGCCGTGGGAGTGTCCCGGTGGACCGTCAAAAGGGTTTTAGACCGAGAAAAGAAAGGACAACTATCCGCGAAGGTGGCCACAGGTCGTCCGAGGTCAGCTCGGGTTCCGAGGGTTATCGCTGCTATCAAAAGGACGATTCTGGTGAATCCAGTGCGCTCAATAAGGAAAATGGCAAAGGAACACGGGATCAGTGACTTTACGACACGGAAGATCGTAAAGGAAGATTGCGGGGCAAGTCAAGGGCACGAAAAAAAAACTCATATGAATACCAACCGCACCCGGGAGCTACGAGTCGAACGATGCAAGAAAATCCTGAACTTCCTTAAGCGAAAAAATCCGGTAATCCTGTTCACCTACCAGAGCATGTTTACCGTCGATCCCGTATCAAATTCCAGAACCGACCGGTTTATTAGTCCTCTTCCTGTAAAAGACGTGGCCGACGAGCACAAGAACGTGTATCTGACCAACCATCCTGCTAGCGTTATGGTGTTTGTATTGGTGGCTTCCGATGGCAAAAAATGAACCCGGTGTTCATTCCAGAAGGCGAAAAGGTCAACACGGAAGTCTACATCGGGATTTTGAGTAAGTATGTTCTTCCGTGCATCAGAGAACAGTGCGGTCCGAAGCCAAATGTTGTATTTCAACAACATGGGGCTCCGTGCCACACCTCGAACACACTTCGAAGTGGTTGCAGGAATATCTTCCGTTCTGGGCGAAGGATATGTAGCCGCCATCCAGCCCCTCTTAATGCGCTGGATTACTCAATATGGCGCGTCATGAAGGCTAAGGCCTGTTCTAAACGCCACCCGAGTACAGCAAGCCTCAGATAAACATTGACCCGTACCTGGAGAGAATTGGATCCAGACTTCATTATTAGAACCAGCCGTGCATTCCGGAAGCGTGTGGAGGCCGTAATTGTAGCAAGTGAAAACTCGATCGATGATTAACATAGTTTAAGACTCTGAGAAACATCCCCCTTTGAATAAATAAAAAAAACTCGAAAACGAAATTTTTGATTTTTTTTTTAATTTTGGCATTGCTCAATGGTGCAAACATCATCACGCATACGGCACTACAAAAAAACCGATAGTTGCTTTTTATCCACAACTACCTCAGACAACAGAATGTAATAAATCATTTTGTTTATAGCTAAACCATCACTGTCTTATGGAACTCAAGTCGATGTTCAATGATTCGATATTTACAATAGGAACTTTCCTAATTTTAAGGTTAATACATTTCAACTGGAACTTACTTAATGTCTGCTTTTAAAATAGTGCTTTCAGTATTTCAACAGTTGTCAAATGGGTACTTTCTAAGCCTTCACAAAATTTTTGAATTCTTATTTTGTGTGGCAAAGCTTTTCAACCTGGAAATGCCATGTCTTAACAAAATGGAACCATACTGAGAATAATTTTAATATTTTTCCAATGTACTGCGATATGCCGTTTCAATAGTCTTCCATCGTCTGTTTCTTTCCAATCGATCTTTAACCGTTTCGCCCATGAGGAAGATCTCTGACAACTATACCTCCAACCTCAGACTATGTGCTGGTTGGGGTTGTTAATCGATAAGAAGAAAATCCGTGCAAACTTACCGAATAAGCAGAAATACTTTCATAATTCGAACTAGAATTCTGCTTGAAATGAGCTTTTTCAGCTACTGTTTTACATCTCTTTGCTTCAACAACTTCTAAAAGACCACATCGGTGCCACATGAAACTATATCCAGCAATGTTGGCCTTTGATTTCCTTATATAACCCATCAAAACATAGACCTCACCATCACCTGCATTTTGATTACCTCTACTATCATTCCAATCGTCCACTAACCTTAATCTTCTTTCTGCTGCAACGAACCAGAAATATTGACCCAAGTCAACAGAAGAACAAACCGGTGCTCTTGATTGATTATCTGTCACCCTAATACTACCTCGTTGAGTGCAGCATTTTATCAGCCCTTAACATCCACAAACACCCCAATAAACGATGCAATGGTGGAACTCCCGCTGCGATCAATATATCTCCCTAAACCGATTCATTGTCACATATCTTCGAGTGCACTAATCACACGGACCCACCAACAATACCGGACCCATTAGATCATTTTCATTCACACGCTGCTTTTGCTGCTACTGCTGCTGCTGCTGCACCTACTAAATTGTGCTCCATTCGTGTCCACCTTTTGTGGTCAGGCCAGGGGGACTAGTTTTTTTTTGGAGGGCCGAAATCGTTGTATTTTTTTTTTTTTCGTTCGTTCGTTCGGTCGTTCGTCTTGTGCTAGCGTGTCATTCTTGGACTGCACTCTTGCTCTCGTTTTTTTTTTAGGATCGATTCATAGACACAGGTGCCACACACACACGCACTTCACGCCTCACTCTGTGACCCCCGCGAATGTCCTCCTGCAAAAATTTGAACCCCATTCACAGACAGAACGAACGAGAGAAATGTAAACGTGCTTGGGCCTACGCCCAAGGAGACGCTCTCGGATCAGGTCGGGTTGGGTTTGGACACGACCGATTAGATATAAATTAGAGCATTTCGTCAAAGGTTGATATCAGTTACCGAGTAGTGCTCTAGCAAGGCAAATAGTTGCAGCTTTTAGCGTTCTTTCCCAGTGCCATAAATCAAAACTAACAATGTTCCGATTGGTGTGTTTTCGATCTTGTTGAGTGATTTAGTGACAGTGATTTAATGTGATTGGTTCTTATTACAGTTGATTGCATCGTCGCTGATCGCCATGGGTCTGGCCGTTCCAGTTGCTCAGGTCCATCAGCACCCAGAGGCCCATGCCCAGATCCTGTCGTACGAGAATGTTCTGCATGACGATGGCCACTACAATTGGGCTTACCAGACCAGCAACGGAATCGCCGCCAATGAGGAAGGCCTCGGTGGACACGGTGCCAACGGAGCGTTCTCCTACACTGGTCCCGATGGTGTCCAGTACCGTGTGGTGTACGTCGCCGATGAGAATGGATTCCGCCCGGAAGGTGCCCATCTGCCAACTCCTCCACCAACCCCAGACCATGTGCTGAAGTCTCTGGAGGAGATCCGTGCCAACCCACCAAAGGACCAGAAGGACTTCAGCCTGGCAGCGCTGGATGCCACCATCGCCCGACTGAAGCACTAAGCTGACCTGGCTTCGATTGTTAAATTGTTACTCGTCACCGTGACATTGTTGACCTGATGTTCTTGTTCTTAAGCACCTTTCGAACTGGTGAGAATTCTAGCTAGAATCTCGTTTCAGTTAACCGTCTGGAATGTTTGTTCTGAAAAAAAAAACCTTTTGTAAATAGCACCGAAATTTAGTGATAAGTAGACAATTGTTTGTAATAAACCGAAGTTTTTCTATAAAAAAAAAAACATAATCTGTGTAAACAGTTTAACTATTTTATTCGAACATCAGCTTATTACTAAACACGCACACACGCCTCTCATAGCATCACCCCTGTATGAAACCCAATCTAACCCTGAGTAGCTTTCAGCCGGGCGATGGTCGCCTCCAGCATGGGAATGTCCAGCTCCGAATCGGGACCCGCTGCCGCCCGGATTTCCTCCAGGGACTTGATCACGTGATCCGGCGCCGGTGGCTCCACTGGCAAATGCGATCCCTGCGGTTGGAATCCGTACTCGTCGGCCAGGTAGGTCACCTCCACTCGGTTGTTGTCCGGATCCATGTAGCTGAAGTACCCATTGGCAAAGAGGCCATTTTCGCCGCCGGTTTGCGACGCACTGATGCCATTGCTGGTTTCGTACTTGTACACGTAGGAACCATCCGCGTTGAGGACGTACTCGTCGACTTGGATCGTGGCTGATTGGTCTTGGTTGTTGTTGTTGTTATTGCTGCGGCCGAAGCTGTTGGGTCTTCGCTGGGGTGCTGCCACAGCTGCCGTTACCAGCAAGGCGACGGTGATCTGGGGATGGGAATGAAGAAGAATTAAAAATTAGATCTTAGCAAGTGTGCATTATCAGGGGGCTCTCTGTGCATGCTCCTTGGTGTGGGGGTTAGTGGATAGTGTTTAAAAAAATAGAGTCAGGAATCTTTATTGCCGGCTATCCGCGAATAAGGATACCCACAGCTTATGGGATTTTCACTAATAGGGGCTGTGGTGGATTATCTCATTTGTTTCAATATAGAGAGCTATACTGTCTTCGACAAAGTTGTTCTACTGGCATAGCCTGTGTCATTGCATTCAGGTTTAGTTGGGAACAACGCCGCTAGAGGCGCTTCACTTTTATATTACTTATGACGGGCGCTATAATATATGGATCATAGGTCATACATAGAATATTTCGTGATCCTGGCCATATAGAAAGTAACTGTCTTCAGCGAAGTTGTTCAAGTGACCAAGTTCTTTCGGATGGTGGCCATATTAGAACTCTCTCACTACGCAGCGCTAGTGTGGTGCATATGAGCTTGCTATAGAAGCTGTATCTCAAAATCTTGGCGATATAGGAGGTTACTGTCTTGGGCAAAGTTGTTCAGGTGATCATGTACTTTTGTATGGTGTTCATATTAGTTCAAAACTCTCTCACTACGCAGCACTAGTGTGCATGTGAACTTCCTATATAAACTGTATCTCGGGAACCTGGACATTTAGAACGTTGTTGTATTCAGCAAAGCTGTTCAGGTGACCAAGTCCTTTCGGATGGTGGTCATATTATTTAAGAACTCCCTCACTACGCGGCGGTAGTGTGCACATGAACTTTCATAATTTGTTATGTCTGGAAAGCTTGTCCACATAAGATGTTACTGTGAGGACACGAGACGAAATAGCAGTCTTCACGAAACATAGCCGGCGTTGAGCTTGAGTTTCAATTTCTTCAGTGCACGTTCATTGAAGGCGCGTGTTACCTTTCGAACTCAGGTGTACTCTGCATATCGAACGTGATACTTCGTACCTGCATGCAAGTGTGAACATTGAGGCATGCTATGTTGCAACAGAAAGATGATGATGATGATGGTCCCACCTCTTACCCCTACAAAGGTTTGAGCTGGACGATTTATCTTTAAGATAATTAAATATGACAATTTAACCAGGTTTGCAAAACAAATTCGAACTGGTTTCAGTTACAGATATAAATTCCCTCTAGAGTTTACAGTTGCTTCACAGCGATATGAATGTGAAAAAGCTCAGGCGCCCACCTCTAAGCTCGCCTTTTTGTCCACCTAAAATATTCATAAGTATTGCATGCAATTAAGAGTTAATTAACAATCAACAAAGCATCCTATTACACTAGTAACCCCGCAATCTGATGTTATCATAATTTTCAGCATTTGCCAGAAAACTTACTACTAATTCTAGGTATCTTCCAAATAAGCTTCAAAATTGCATTTTTTTTTTTATCAAATGTTAAATTCAGTCCTCTATATCCGTAATACGCGCGCGAGGCTGAAACCTTTGTAGACTACTTTTTTTTTTAATTAATCTACTATTAAATCAAATATTAAAAATCCATCATCACCATCGTGGCGAACAGAAATAGTTTTTGCAATGCTACAATAATTATTAAAAAGTCGTTATGACAGCTATCCATATAAAATAATCCGTTAAAAATAACTTCGTCAAGATACATAATTTGTCAATTCATAAAAAAAATCACTGGATAACTGTTCCAAAGACAGCTTTAACATGTGAAATGCAGTGTCTTTTAAATTCTGTAAGTGTTGCTGAACGTTTGATATGTCTAGGCATCGAATTGAAACCATTTATTCCTTTATAATATAATGAATTTTGTGATGCACAAGTCAAGAAATGTGGTGTTCTTATTTCAGTCGCGCTTCTAGTATTATATCTATGAAAGTCACTTCCTCTTTCAATTCGATCACACAAATATCGAGGCAGCAATCCGTTAACTACTTTAAAAATGAACACCATAGTCAAAAATACAATTCTTTGCTTCACCGACAACCATTATAAGGCGTCTAGCATCAAAGTTGAGGAAGTGAATCTATTACATCTCAAAATCAAACGCATTATTTTATTCTGCAAGCGCTGTAATCTCGATATTTGTGATGCATTGGACAGAAATAAAACGGATGGGCAAAAGTCTAGATGAGGATAGATGATTGATTTGTATAGCTGTATTTTACTGGCAATAGTTAAATCGTTTTTCAGTCGACATAGAATTCCATACTTCTTGGCAATTTTCTTGATGACATTGTCAATGTGAGAGTTGAACTTAAGTGTGTCAACAATAATCACACCAAGATATTTAATCTCGTGAACGCGATCAATAGTCTCATCATCAATTACAACAGAGACGATCTCATTTACTCGATTCCGCGAAATTACCATAAATTTAGTTTTACTTGTATTCAATTTTAACTGCTTATACATCAACTATCTACTTAGAGAACGCAAATCTTCATTCAAGTGTAAAACGGCATCATCTAAATCCTTAGTTGCAATGAATAACACAGTATCATCTGCAAAAAGGTTAATGTCGCAAAATCGTAAAACACGTCGCAAGTCATTAATATACATAATAAATAACAGGGGCCCTAATACACTTCCCTGGGGCACTCTAAGGTTATTCCCCACGGGACTGGAAACATAATCATTAAAAACAGTCCGTTGAGTTCTGTCAGAAAAATAGCTTTCAAACCATTTATATGCAGTACTCGTAATTCCAAAGCGCTTGATTGATCTCAACAATAAGGGCCTAGAAATTGTTTCAAAAGCGCGTTTAAGATCCAAAAAAAAAACAGCAATAATCGTATCTTTACACTACAAGTTATTTTTCCACTTCGCTAATACCAAATTCAACGCGGTTTCACAAAAAAAGACCTTCCCGATATCCCGATTGTTCTGGTATCAACAAACTATTACTATTTAAATACTCCAACAGCTGGCCTGTAACAACAAGTTCTAAAATTTTCTCTAATAAATAAAGGGCAGACGAAATCGATGAACGCTTCTTATACACATCTTTCAGAGTAATAACAGACGAGCGGTGAACATGCTAGTCTGATACACTCAAAGTTCATGGTTCGAACTTGAACTTGAACTTGAACACTTAATAATTCTTTTTAATAGCAATTGAGTTGCTGCGCTTGAGTACGAACGATGTTTGTCAAACGCTGAAGCAAGATCATTTTCCTGTGTGCATGCGTGAACATAGAGTGAATGCTTAGGTAAGTGCAAAAGCCTGCATGCACATCAGTGGTATGCTGCACCTTGAAGACTGCGAAATAGGGATGACGTGTAGAGAGGCTGTGAATCTGAAATCAATTTGCGACGACAGATTTCTAAATAGTCCTAGTGTTAGTACCGTGGACCCTCGGTGAAATTAAAAAAAGCATATGTTTTAACGAGCAAATAAACCACAACTTGATTGTACATTTCGCTTACCAAGGCCACATCTCTTCCTTCGTTCGTTATGAATGGGCTATTTTTCAAGTTAATCCTTTAATCAACAAAAATTGCCGCTAGGAAAACTTTGTTGGTCATAACCATCCGACACCTCTTCTCCATGTTCGATAAGAGTGTAGTAGCTAGGTCGCTTTCCATCGTTTTCAAAACAAAACAACACTTTTCCCACATCAAGAACACGAGTTGGTCTTCCAGTTGAGTTTGTTATTCCGATGTCGCATTGAAACGTCGCTTAGCGACGTCTCATTACGAAAAGCGCATGAGCTTCGGCTCACATGACGTCGCATGATACTCGTTCTCATGAAACGCATACATCCGGAAATGTGCTGTGCTTAAGCGAACCCCACACGTATCAATATATTGACGCGAAGGGGAATTATTGACAATAATATTGATGATGTGAGTGCAGGAATATTGTCAATACCCATGTATTGACGTAAATATTGAATGTATTGACAATACGATTATTGTCAATAAAATCAATCGTGTAGGGTCCACTTTACAAAACAGTGCGACACACTGACATTATGAGAATGTGAGATGCGACAAAACTGAAGAGAGAGAAACAGAGTGCTACAAATCTCTTGCGCATGAGACTGCTATGACTATGAGACTATTCGTATTGCGTCTCGCATACGGTAGCGCGCGCACTGGAAGCCTGCACACAAGCATCGTGGTGGCTTACTTGAGCGAGCTTTCATTCTCAGGCAATTCGTGAAAAGTCAGTGTTTACGTTTGTGAAATTGGTTCTTTC